TGAGTTGAATGACTTACACCGAAACATTGAATTGACAACAGAGCCGGAACAGTATGTGACGCCGCGGTTCCTGGACATCCTGATAGAGTGTATGAGTGACGGTTCAGTACGCAGATCAGTTTGCCGCAAGCCATCGTGGAAGGGATAGTACTTGAACTTCTATAGCTTTGTCCCAAAGCGGTACAAACAAGGTCTGGTGAAGACTTTGCTCAAAAGAGCTAGAAAAATATGCACTGCTGACACGCTTGAACAAGAGGTGCGGTTGATAACCAGCACCCTCGTAAACAATAGGTACCCACCGTCTTTTATCCCTCAGTTTGTTGCTGGGAAAGAGGAAAATGTGTGCCCATGGTACCAAAGATGAAAGCGACCCTGCAATTACCATTCAAGGGCGGGGACGGATGCCAGACTTTTCAACGCCGATTGAAATCCGCAGTGGCGGCGTATACCCTGAGGTGGAACCAGTACTCATCTAAACAACGAATCGTATCCCTACTCCATCGGTTAAACCCCAGCTGTCGCTGTCCAGCCGTTCACACATACTTTACCAATTTACATGTATTTGCAAGGCCGAGTACGTGGGCATGACAGAACGAAAATTGAGGATGAGGGTCGCGGAGCACATGCTGGCGTGGGTGAGTAAATACGTTTCGCAGATGGCCACGTCCCCCACCTCGAATGCGCAGCCAAGGAAGCAAAATGAAGTTTCCTACAAACAACCAGCTTCATCAATCGCCCGCCACCTGCTGGCTGACAACCACTGTGTAGATTCCGTGCGGGCGTTCCGTGTTATCTATGCATTAATGAACCCCCTAACTTTACGATATGCTGAGGCCGTGGCTATCAAACAAATCAGCGCAACTCTGTGTGTGCAGAAGGACGCATTTGTGACCCTGGCCTTGCCGTGGTAGCAGGCCGGGCACAGATGACAAAGTGACATGAATGTAGGTATGTACAGTTTCGTTAATTTGCCATTTTAACTGCGCTCCTTTCATGATGCTATAAACTCACATGTACGCACTTGAAAATATGCGGAAACATTTTTTCGGAATTAAATCATGCGGCACTCTTGTGTTAACTTTTCTTTATATATATATATATGTATATATATATACGCCATTTTTCTGTCTTCCCATTTGGTCGTTATTTGCAAATCTCCAGACCTCTGATCCCTGAATATTCTCAACTGCTACAATCCATCAAACATATCTGGAACTGATGTCGCTGGGGCGAAACGACTCACGGAAATGGCATTCAGTTTTCGGAAATCCACGCCGAAACGATCCTTCCTATTTGCTTTCTTCACAAAACAGCGGGCTCGTATTAGGTTTGCGGCCTTACAGTCATGTTGGTATCTTGCATATCTTGTACTTTTTTCTTCACCCCAACCTTCCTTCCAGATCCCTGTGGGGGACACGTTCGTTAGGTTGGTGAAACGGTGCACTCGATCCAGTCACAAATTCCATACTGACTACCATCATCCGTAAACAACAGGTGGTACTTGCAGATGAGTGTATGCAAGGCTCGGCTCACGTGTACTTCGCCGACAACTGAGCGTACGTGCACAGTTCCTCCACAGCCAATACGTCAGCTGCTTCCCTCGTTTTAAATCAACGATGACGTTGTTGTACTCCAACAAATCTGCCCCCCAATATCGTCAGCTGTACGTCTGGCAACATGACGGGGGCTTTCCGGTTTTCGTCCCCCGATTCGTACGATATTTTCTGCTGTACTATTTTTGCACACTGCGTAACCACCAGCATCGTTACTTCCACTATGCCGGTTTTCGGCAAAGAAAGCAACACCATTTTGTTCGTTCCTCCGGCCTCTGAACGCGAAGGCCACTGACGTATTGCACCAGTTTTCCCATCATCCCCACCGATCAGTCCAACTGGTCGACGCCTTCACAGTCCTTCTTCTCCAAGGCAGCGAGTGACGCGTCGACTAGCTCACAGGTTACCTGCGCCAACTGCTCTGTGCGCATCTGGGTATCTTCCGCAATCCGAACGCGTTCCGCGATTAGCTACGGGAGACCGCTCAACAACCTATCCACGAGTAGTTTCTGTCTTGACACTCCGTCTACTAAGTCCCGTACATGAACAGCAGATACGAGGGGATCCGCCGCTGCTCCGATCCGGGCGGTCGGCCGGACTTCCCAATCCGAAGAGCAACATCTGTTTCGCGACAACCCACTCTAACACACTCACTCACACTGTCTTCACAACCGGTTTGTTTTGCTCTTGAGGAGAATCCTCAAAACCACTAGCTTCGCCCGGTCGTTCTTCATTCCGATTCGGGAATGTTCTAAATCTACAATGACAGGTCACGGCACCAGTACAAGAACCCAAGATGCGAACGTTTATTTATTGGGGCAAACATTAACCATATGCATGAGCTCTGGTCCCAAGCCGTTCCACTCACCGCCGAACTTTCTCCTGGAGATTACATGGCACGAGTTGCTTCTGTGTCTATTTCTAGTGCAAATGCATATGTAACTCCAGTGTTTATACTCCACTGTTAGCACGTTGCTGTCTGGTTATCTTGGCATTGCTATACTACTGACGGCGCAGTAGTACCTCCTCTTGCTCACTATATGTCACATTCGAACAACTTCTTAATGCTCTAGCTGTCGCAGAGGATAATCATCGATGTGCTGTATTAAACGGGCCGGGTAGTGGCGCGGAGGTTAATGCTTCGGCTTTCCTATATTCTTACTCCCCTTGTGGTTTTCATCTTTATCGCCCCGTTCCAACTTCATTTTACGTCACTGTTTTCAACCTCCCAATTCTTAGCCTTTTTCACTCTCCTTCAAGAGGCGTTCGTCTTCTAGCTTCTACTCACATGCAACCATACCGCGTAACCACTTTCCTATCAATAACTCGGTGTCCAATCAAGTGGACAACTTCACTTTATGCGCTTCTATTTGGAGCCTTCGGTCCTCGCTAAGACTGGCATGCATTGATTTGCGCACTTTGTTGTGGATCAGTCAACAGACAGCAGTTACCCGATGTGTGCTCCTAATCCGAGACACGCTTGCAAGACCCGAGCTCTGTGCTCACTCCATGATCACCTTCATGTCTCACCGGTGGCACTTTCCGCGTCTTTTCGAAGATGACGCAGTTTTAATGGCTAGTGGAACTGGTGTAGGCACTGATCTGACAAAGCTCTGGAAGCTGCGTTCACTAGACACGAATTAGAAGGTGTGGAGCTGCTCATAGGTGATAGGATTTTTGTCCTATAGAATATGGACAATATTACCCTTATGTGTGACAACTCACGAACGTGCCAAGCAGCACTGGGTAGATTAGCACTGTTTGTCCATCGTTTTGAGCCTATATTTGCACCTTCCGAATTCCAAGCTTCCCTCCAACATTGACAGGGCCATCCTTGCACCATACCTTGATGGGGATCAGTCAGTCGTTCGGAAGATCAACTACCTCGGGAGCCATCACAACGCCTGTGAAACAGATGAAGTGACCGACCGAATAATAGAAGCTCGAGACGATTTTGTTGATTTTTGTCGCTTGCGGTACCGGTGCGACGTAACTCTTACCCTGAAAAGTGGAATCTGTGATGCAGCCTTCTGTTCAACTTTACCATATTCTTGTAAAACGGCCCATCAAATCGACAGACGTTGCGTTGGACCATAGGAGCCTTCGTAGTTTGGCTCACATGTTGTGATAACACCATGTGAGCAACGAGCATGTTCGGCATTTTGTTTATATCACAGGAAAGAAAGTGAGTCGCTCAGCATAGTTATTTCACTTACCAGATTCTGATGACTGAGCTACGTGTTACGCACATCAGCACGTCAGATTCCTCGGTGTGCGTTATTTGCGTGACTAGCATGGGTATAAGAAGAGAGGACACCAACCGATTACCTTGCCAAGAGAAATAAAGGTTCTTTCTTCGAAGTTGGTTACGATTGGTGCTTCTCGACTCTCGGGTTGGCGTCCGAAACACGACAGGCACGCTTGGTTGGATACGGTTGTTAACGTGGCCAAGAACCGACTGCAGTGGCGTTTAGGTGGTGAGCTTCTTTGTCCCTTCTGTTTCCCCTTTTCAACCACGATCTCAAAATCAGCGCATAATATAAAAGCGAATCATAATGTTGTCTTATTTCGTCATGCATTTTTATTGTTGTGTCTTTCTTCGATGCAATTACATTGCATTTCAGCATAATAACTGAGGTATCTTTTGCCGCCAATTAACGTGTGGGGTGATGATGATCTTCTAACGAGTTACCATCAACTTTTTGTTAGACTGAAAATAATCATCAACGAAGCCGTTACAGTTATTCACTGCGATTTTCAATGGTGGTCACGTACGAGGGTCATTCAATAAATAAGGTGAATTTTTCGGTATAAGGACTTCTAATACAGATAGAAGCTTACTTTTCGTTTATTTTTGTTATTTTACTTCTTTTTCACATGGATGTAATTTCTTTTGCAGATTGAAAAATAACTAAGAGTTGTA